TGTTTCGTCGGAGTTTCACCGACTCATCAGGAGGCTGAACCCTCAACAGTCTGCAGAATCCCCTCACTGATTACACTGTAAATGATAATCTACCTTAACCAAAATCAAAGTAGACTATACAGGATAACCGACGTTCGGGACGGCCCGAACGCCCGAACGTATGGGACCCCTTGGGGATGCGTTCGGCCGTTCGGGTCGAACGCGGACCAAAAAAAAAAATAATAAAATAAAATAAAAGTCATCAAACAAATCTGAAAAAAAATATGTTATGAAGAAACATAAATTGAACACGATTTGCCTGAGCATTACACCCGAATTCCTTACCAAATCTGAAATATAAATAAAATACAAAAAATAAAAATTAATAATATAAATAAATAAAAATAAAAATAGAATTAAATTTAGTGAGTGCGCGAGCATGTTTTCGACACCGCCATCTATGGTGAATTTTTATTTTGTTTTGGCATCGCTAAATACCCTGAAAATTTACAGATGTGTACTTCACATAATACAAAACCTACTAAGTTTCAAAAGATAATAAAATTGTTTAGACCCCGAACTAAAGTGGAAACAAAAAGTAAAAAGTGAAAAAATACGTGGGCGATTACGTTTTGACACCGCCCTCTTTGGCGATTTTTAATTCTTATTTGGCTTAGCCAAATGACTTGAAAATGTACAGGCATGTACCTCACGTCATAGAGAACTCACAAAAACAAATTCAGAAAACAATTATTATTTTTAGGCCCCGAAACATGAAATCTCCCCTTCACAGAGAGAGGAAACTATGCTTGCAGGGGTCCCTTCTAGATAGTCTTAGGAGTAGGTAATGGAAGGTAAAGAAACAGAAGTTGAGAATAGTACATAAAAAAAAAAAAAAAAAAACAGAAGAAAACAAAAGGCCGTGGTAGTGGGAAACGACAAACTTCGAAAGGGAACGAAAACCAACAAAAGAACATAGGATGAATTGGCACGGTATTTATTCCACGATCTTAAATATTTTTTTAATTTTTTTAAATATTTTTCATAGAAAGATCACAACCCAATCTATATACCTATCAATTTTCAGAGTTGTGGAGTCGTCTTTTTGAGCGCGAACAATCACGAAAGTTGGGGTACTTTTCTCGTTGGCCGTCACATGATACAGCAGCAAAAGACTCCAAAAAAATGAATATAGGACGAATTGGC